GTAAATCAAAATAAAATCAAATAAACCTGTAAGTCAAAAATTGTCTCAAGAGGTCAATTTACCAGGAAAATTAAATAATTATAAACATACATATACCCAACATTGGAGTACCAAAATATATAAGGTAAACACTGACAGAACAAGAGAGAAACAGACAGGAATGCAGCAGGACACCTCAATACTACATTTTCACTTACCAATAGAATAACCAGAGAGAATATCAGTAAGGAAACAGAGGACTTTGACAACAGTATAAAACAATTGGAACTTGCAGGCAGGTAGAAAACACTCTATCCAATAATAGCAGAATACAAATTCTTCTAAAGCCTAAATGAACATTCTCTAAAACAGACCACATATATGTCAGGCCATTAAACAAGAGTTAATGAATTTTTAAAGATTGAAATGATTTCCAAACCAATTATCTTTTCCTCTTGCAATGGAATATAGTTAGATATTAATAGCATAAGGAAAACTGAAAAATTCACAAATATGCAGATATTAAACAATACACTTTGGAACAATCGGTTGCAGAAAAAAATCTAAAGAGAAATTAGAAAACACTTTGAGACATACAAAACTGAAAACACAATATACATGGGATGCAGCAAGAACAGTATCAAGAGAGAAATTTATAATGTCTACCTCATTAGAGTAAATTTTATTCTTGTAACCTGAGATAGAGGTTGTTTTCTTTAATTTATGGTCACTAGCAGAATCTGGCATATTTCTGACTCTCAATAAAACTAATTAAATTTGTTATATTAATAATAAAGATTGGGGAAAAACATCCAATAAAAGTAAAAATAGACAAGTGGGACTCCATCAAACTGAAAAGCTTCTGTACCCCAAAGAAAATAGTGAAGAGTGAGAAAGCAATCTATAGATAAAAGGAGATATTTGTAAGCTATATATCTGACAAGGAGTAATTTTCAAAATATACAAGGAAATCCTACAATTCAGTAACAAAAGAATAACTTGATTTTTAAAATGGGCTACAGTGTCAAATTAATGTTTCTCCAAAGAAAATATACAAATGAACGACAATATGTGAAAAGATGCTAAATGTCATTTACTCTCAGGGAAATGCAAATCTAAAGCACTATGGGATATCACTTTACTCTCATTAAAACAGCTATTATAGAGACAACACCAAGAATATCAAACAAATGTTGCTAAGGATGTGGAGATATCAGAAACTTTCTACCCTGTTGGTAGAAAGCAAATGGTGTAGGCACCATGAAAAAAACAGTATGAGGGTTCCTTGAAGAATTATTGAACTACCACATGCTTATCCCACTTCTGGATATATACCATAAAGAAAAGTATGATCTCAAAGAGATATTTGGACTTACATGTTCATTGTGGTACTATTAACAATAGTCTGGATGTGGAAACTAACTAATGCCATCAATGGATGGATTAAAAAAGCATAACACACACAATGGAATATTATTCAATCTTAAAAGAAAATCCTGCAATATATGAATAGCATAATTGAGCTTTGAGGGCATTATGCAAGAAACAAATCAGTAATAGGACACATATTGCATGATGACATTTACATGATGCATCTAAAAAAGTCAAATTCACAAAAGCAGAGAGTGGAATGGTGATTTCCAGGGGCTCTGGGAAGGGGAAATAAGGAGTTGCTAGTTAATTGGTATAAAATTTCAGTTATGCAAGATGAATATAATTTTGAAATCTGGTTATAACATTGCACTCATAGTCAACAATACTATGTTGTACTTTTTAAATAATCTATTAAGATCTCATGTTAAGTGTTATGTGTTCTTACTACAATAAAATAAAAATAATTGTAAAAGTATATGTGTATACACATACTCCATAGATTTTTTTAAAAATATGGAATGCTTCACAAATTTTCCTGTCATTCTTGTGCAGGGGCCATGCTAATCTTCCCTATGTCATTTCAATTTTAGTATATGTGCTGCCAAAGTGAGTACCACCCCCTAAGAAGTTCAAAGCACAATTTAATACCATTATTCTTTGACCTACAAAAATGTCATTAACATAAGAAAATATTGTATTGACGATTATCTTAAGTTTATAAAAATAAATTATTTTCAAATATGCACAGATCTGGGTTTAAAATTTATTTACATGATCATAATTTTTCATAATCAACCACTCAGATAGACTTCTGTAAATGATTGGTTAAATCAGTGACTTTATCTATATGATAAATATTTTTTCTTACTCAACATCTGTCAAATATGTGATTTTGGTTAATTTTCTATTCTCTCATTGGCCTACTATATAATAGAAAAAAAAGACATATCCTTCATATCCTAAGTAGATCTGGCCTGCCAAACTGTTTTCTTTAATTTACATACCATATTAAAATCAAAAAATTATAGATGGATTTGTCCAGAAACCAATCAAAATACCTTGTCAATGATAGAATCAAATTTCTACAAAAAAAGAATAGTACAGATGGTTTTGGGTAGATGGTGAGGGCAATAAATCCCCACCAACTCTAACCAGTCTGCCCACCACATCCTAACTTCCTATAGCAGAACCTGTATCACTTTATTCATTTATGTTATCTGTTTGGCTCCTGTAGGTATTAGAGTTTGCCAAGTATACTTTGTAATAAGTTCACTTTACACTCATTACTGAAAAAAGATACAATAAGGTCTGAACATTCAGTTGTATAAATTGAATTACCATGAATCCTAAAATGTTTATGAATATTTCTAAATATTAGGGGGATTTTTAAAAAACTGTTATCTTAAAGAACTTCACAACTTATTTCTGTACTCTTAGTGATAAAAACAATAATGAGCTTGGAAGTGAATAAGTAAAATTGAACAGAATGTGAGCCAACTCAAAGTCATGTATTTAAAATAGAAGACATGAAACATTTCATCAGCTATTTGCTTTAGTCTTGTATTAGCAAACACTTTCAAGTTTGTGCCTACTGTTAGCCTACTGTGATAACTAGTGCATTTTAAAAGTAAATCTTTTGATCTCCTTAGAATGATCTATTGAAGTCCTTATAAGATAGAAAATTGAATATGTTTGTTCACAGGCACTAATTATTTGTATGTTAAAACATCTACCATCCTGTCATTTTTTAAAAGAGATGACAGAGGGGTTGGGATGTAGCTCAGTGTTATAGCATTTGCCTACCTTGTGTGAAGTCCTGTGTTCAGCACCAAAAAAAAAAAAAAAAATCACTAAAAGAGATGTCAAGTAAATACAGAAATGTCTATGGCTTGTTGTCATAGGGCCTACAACACAGGCATGCTTTTGGTGATGAACAGGGAGACTTAACCTTACTTTGGGCCAACGGAAGGTGGTGACATTAGGACTTCTCTAAAGAAAAGCCACATTTGGGATGAGATTTTAAGAACCATGCAAATGGAAATATGAGAAAACCTTTTCCAAGTACAGGGAAGGGTACTATTACAGGACACTTTGAGACTCCTGCAATTAATATGACATGGGATATATATTAGAGAAGGAATGGAGAGGTAAAAAACAAAAATGGTTAAGAAAGAAAGATTGAAGAAAGAAAGAAAGAAAGAAAGAAAGAAAGAAAGAAAGAAAGAAAGTCACAAACAGCCATATATCTCATTCTGGGGAATTTGACTTCAATCCTTAAGTCCAATGTGAAATCACTGAAGGAACTTAAACAAGGGACAACATGGGTCATATTTGTTTAGAAAGATAATTCTGGAAGCATTATGCCTACGAACAGGTGAGACCAGAGACAAAGAGTTCAGATGAAAGGTTAATCAGTAATTCGGTCAGTAATTGAATTAAGGTTAGGTTATTTATGAAGAGAGGGAACATAGGAAATAAAATGGGTATAGAGGTAAGACAATGAGCCAGATTTGGACACATTGAGTTTTAGGCATTTATAAGACATCTAAGAAGGAAAAAAAAATGAGCGAGTACTAAAAAAAGTGTAAATTTTAAAAAGTTGTAAAAAAGTATCCATTAGAAATGCATTGGATAGAAACTAATTGTGTTTCATAAATAATAAAAGTCAGATTATAATCGAAAAGTAGATGGGAGGTAATAAGTGAGACATTTACATTTAGATTATTTCTTCCAGGTGCTTGGCTCTAAAGGAAAACAGAAAAACGCAAAATCAGCTAAAAGGTTGTTTGATGGATAAAAAATATTGTATGTGTAAAAAAAGATGGGAGAGACTTGAGTGTGCTTTCTTAAGGAAAAGAGAGAGTGGCGATGGTGGGTAGAAGGTGCAGATTGGACCAGGTAAAGTGGTTGATGGAATCAGATCTTGGAAGACATGGAAAGAGGATCCAAACCACAGGTGAATCTATTAATATCATCTGAAGATGGAGGCCTTTCCCACTGAGTTGGGGAAAACAGGATGAAGATACAAGATGAAGGTATAAGAGCTTGAAGTTCCCATACCTTCCACATTATTTCTCCTAATTATGAAGTAAAGCATGCTCTGAGAGTCAAGAGGAAGGTCACAGATGTCATTTATTCCTTCATTCGTTTATTCCACAAGCACTTATTGGATGTTGCCATATGCCAAGCCTTCTGCCAGGGCCAGGACACGAGGCTGGACCAAAGTTCTTGGTAAGAGTCCTTTAAACTACTCCAGATATAAGTCAAACCAGCAGTCTCTATGGCAGCTTCAGCAAAGCAACCTGTAAGTTCTGCACTTCAACATCCAAACCACCAACAATCAAAAAACGAAATTGACTCGACTGGGTGGTCAGTTCTGGGAGAGAAATATTTAAAGTTTGTTTTGGATCACATCATATAAAATAAGATTGTTTACATTTTTCTCATTTTATATTTAGTTGTAAAAGCTTGGTATACATAGGAGCTGAATTTTACTTTCATTATAATTACTAATGTGCTTTTTCCTACTTGTTACCTTTGAAAAATAGTAAGCAAATAGTATTAAAAGAGTAAATTTAATAATTTGGCAGAATGGTATCAGGTTTTTGAAAGAAATTATTGTGTTACCTTGTTGTGATTGTACTTACTTAGATCTACGTAGCCAACGTCCACATACATTTTTGCAAACACAGATCCCATTACAAAGCCAATGACTGGACCAATCATTGCTATTGCTTGCAACCCACCTGAAATACGATGAAACAAGTTTATCAGATTCTAAGAATACATGGTTCCTGTTCAATATGTTTTTAAAAGTAACATTACACAACACATTTATCTAAACAATTTTTTTTAGTTAAAAGAATTAATTTAGTGACACTATTATTTCAAGGATAAATCCAGGCAAAATAATCATTCAATTTCATGTTTTCTGTACATTACCTATGTAAACAGAAGAATGTCCTTCTTTAGCAAAATCATCAATATAAGAAATCCCCAGTGGCACGATAGGAGTTTCTCCTATCCCACGAAGCATGTTACCCATTAGGACATATATCCACATGTATGATGATTCTTTTTCACAACCTTGGTAGACGAGAAGGTTTTATTTTAAATATTAACTTCAGCATTTCTATCAGAAACTGAACTACTTTAAACAATTAAATATTACTGTGGGGATTTGTTTTTGTTTTGTTTGTTTGTTTTTTGCTTTTTTTCTAATTTTAAGTGATTTATATTCACTTTGCAAAGTTTGAAATACAAACAAACAAAAAAACCCAAACACAAATACACACACATAAAAAAGTAAAAATTAGCTGAGATCCTACTATACAGATAAAATCAATTCTGATGTTTGTTATATACCTTCCATACTTCAGGTTCATATAAAAGTATGCATAATATGCATCATAGACTTAAATATCCAATTCATATTATAATCTGTATATACATTTAACACTATATTATGGCACTTCTCCTATTTAGCTTGCTCTGTGTTGTCATTCATATCAGGATCTCAATGATAGCACAGTACTGTGTTAAATAACAGCTTCATAAGAAATTTAGTCAATGCTATATTTTTAAATTGTAAACTATTTCTTATTTTTATTCTGTTAAATATGGATGCTTTGGCTATAACTATAAATAAGACCTTGTGCCCATTCCTGACTATTTCCTTAAGTTTAATCGATAACAGTAGGATGAGTGTGAAGTATATTTTTGTTCTTTAATGCATAGTGAAAATTAACCTCCAGAGTTACAAATTTACATACTCTTAACAATACTAAAAATCTAAAATCATTTTTCTTCCTCCCACTTCATTTATCTATTAATATTTTCCTATCTAATAGTTAAAAACTTTAGTGTTATTATTTGTAATTATAATTTGTGTGAATTATAATTTATAGTAGGTAACAATATTTAATTGGCATAATAATTTACATATCCATAAAGAGCAAGTTTCTATTTTTTTCACATACTTAGGCCAGCTCCTATTGTTTTATTTCAAATGTAGATGTTCTTTGCCAATTTTCTACTGGCATTTTCCTCTTTTCTAAAAGGTCTTTATATTTAATACATATTAACATGATGATTTTTGTCTGTATGTAAAGGTCAAAATTTTTTCCTTATTTTTAATTAATTTTGCCAATAAGTATCACATTTTCATAGATATAAGTAATTTTTCATAAATTTTAGAATCGTTTTCACTGTCACTATTAATTCTTACCTTCTTCTGTTATCTCAGGTTGTGTTCCAGTGAGTGATAAAGTTTGATTAACCAAACAGGTTAGTGTTGAATTCTCTGATAGATTAATATGGGCATCAGTAGAATACTTGTAACTGTAAGAATATCAGGACATAAATATTTGTTCATCTACTGAATATTTTTACTATTCCCAAAAACACAAAGAAATTTTACCCTGTTTGTGTCTGCCTTTTCTCCAAATTACCAGAATCCTCTACTTCAATTTTATGACCTGTATTTTAGAAGAGATTATGGGTGAATGTGAAGTGGGAGTGTCCATTCAGAAAAGTCATTCCTTGATGTCAGTCCGGGACTGATTGTATTCTGGTCAATACTGTATTCTTGTTTCATCTTTTTGTTTTTTAAACTTCTAACTATAAACTGTCTGATAATTTACAATGACATTTTATAAACTTTAGAGGAGTGTTTTCTAAATCAATCTAAAATGCATGCCAGTTCATCTACATTTTCTATTAATAACCTGTTATTCTTTCACACACACATAAACACACTCTCCCTCTCTTTCTAATTCCTATCTCTGCAAAACTTAAAAACAATTATAATGCACCTCAATTTGATAAGAGAAAACTTCTTAGGAACAACAGAGATAGAGTTAGAATAGGGACAAATTCTGATCCTCAAAACATTGAAGTACCCTGTAGCTCTGTGGGCAGCCTAATGTATGTCAGGCATTGTGCTCAGCTGCAAAAACGTAGAAATGAATCAACAGCTTTTGTACTTAAGGACTTTCACACTAAGATAGACAGATATGATAAATGATATAAGTTTCATATACAAGGTTCTGAGTTGTCATAAAGGAAAAAGGGATGATCAGAGTTGCCTGAAGGTGGAAAATAAAGTGGATTGAAGAAGGTCTCACCATGAAGATGACACGGGAGAAGAATACTAGTGAGGAATAGGAGCTTAATAGACAAAGTAGGAAAAGTGTTCAAAGGTATTGGAAGAGTATATGCAAAATTATGATATATTATGGACATTTAGTGAACTGCAGCTTTAGAGTGTGGTCCTCAATGATGGGGAGCAGCAGAAGATCAATCTGGGAAGATAACAACCAAATAAGTGAGCACCATGCATGTGCAAATGACTATAGGTATTAACCCACAGGCAAGGGGCTTTTAATATTTTGACTGTCACTACCAATAAGAAATGCATTTTACATTACAACCACAATACACACACACACACACACACACACACACACACACACACTCACAAATGTATGTACAGGTAAAATGTAAGTTTCTCAGAAAAGTATTTATCCCCATCTACATTGTACTCATTTTATTCTGGCCTATGGGGAAAACGTTAATTTCAATAATCTGAATTGCTTTATTGGTACAGAATCTGAAGTTTGAAAAATTGCTCTAGGAAATCGAGTTTTAAATAGGAGTAAAATCATTAGATACACATTTTAAAGTATTGAATATGAGTTAGAATAGATGAAATTGGAAGCAAAGTCCAGACCAGAGAATGAAGCCTCAGCTAGGTAAGGACAGTGGAGCAGTCCAACTTTGACAGACTGGAGATAAAAAAGGAAGATTTGGGTGATTACCAGGTATCCATGTTTCAGTAAATAGACAGCCTAGGACAAGGCCCTTGGTTTTAAGTTCCTTTTGAGTAAAGGAATCATTACGAAAGAATGAATGTGAAAAATCTGAACTGGTCTTGGAAAAATGATGAATTCAGTTCTGAATATATGGATGGAAAAGGCCTGTGGGACAGGAAGTTGGAAATATCCATAAGCATACAGATCTTGAGTACTAGAAAATGTCAGCATATATTGATGATAGTTTTATTTAAAGCATATATCCCATCAATCATGTAGAATGAAAAGTTAAAAAGACTAATGGTGGAGTTTAAGAGGTACTGAAATTATGATGTTAGCCATGAAAGAAAATGACAGGCATGTTAAAAAAGAGCCCAAATATCCAGAGTATACAAAGAACTCAAAAAATTAGACAATAAGATAACAAACAACCCAATCAACAAATGGGCCAAGGACCTGAACAGACACTTCTCAGAGGAGGACATACAATCAATCAACAAGTACATGAAAAAATGCTCACCATCTCTAGCAGTCAGAGAAATGCAAATTAAAACCACCCTAAGATACCATCTCACTCCAGTAAGATTGGCAGCCATTATGAAGTCAAACAACAACAAGTGCTGGCGAGGATGTGGGGAAAAGGGTACACTTGTACATTGCTGGTGGGACTGCAAATTGGTGCTGCCAATTTGGAAAGCAGTATGGAGATTCCTTGGAAAGCTGGGAATGAAACCACCATCTGACCCAGCTATTCCCCTTCTTGGACTATTCCCTAAAGACCTTAAAAGAGCGTACTATAGGGATACTGCTACAACCATGTTCATAGCAGCATAATTCACAATAGCTAGACTGTGGAACCAACCTAGATGTCCTTCAATAGATGAATGGATAAAAAAAATGTGGCATTTATACACAATGGAGTACTACTCAGCACTAAAAAATGACAAAATCATGGCATTTGCAGGGAAATGGATGGCACTAGAGCAGATTATGCTAAGTGAAGCTAGCCAATCCCTAAAAAACAAATGCCAAATGTCATCTTTGATATAAGGAGAGCAACTAAGAACAGAGCAGGGAGGAAGAGCATGATAAGATCACCATTAAACAGGGACGAGAGCGGGGAGGGAAGGGAGAGAGAAGGGAAATTGCATGGTAAAGGAAGGAGACCCTCATTGTTATACAAAATTACATATAAGAGGAAGTGAGGGGAAAGGGGAAAAAAAAACAAGGGGGAGAAATGAATTACAGTAGATGGGGTAGAGAGAGAAGATGGGAGAGGAGGGGAGAGGAGGGGGGATAGTAGAGGATAGGAAGGGCAGCAGAATACAACAGACACTAGTATGGCAGTATGTAAAAAACGTGGATGTGTAACCGATGTGAATCTGCAATCTGTATACGGGGTGAAAATGGGAGTTCATAATCCGCTTGAATCAAATGTATGAAATATGATATATCAAGAACTATGTAATGTTTTGAACAATTAATAATAAAAAAAATTTTAAAAAAAAGAGGGCACAGAGATGGGAAATAAATCCAGCTAGGGCAATATGTTAGAAATAGGAAGGAGAAGAATCACAAGGAAGACAGGTTTTCTCAGAGGCAATGTAGGGAAAAAAAATGAGTTAATGTGGTGACCAAAAGGTGTGACTGCTGGGTTTGGCAATGAGTCAGTGATTCCTGTGACTGGCAGAAATGGCTTGCTCTTTCTCAATACCCCTTTCCCTGAGTAATTTAAGTTGAAACTTTTAGCTGGGAACATGGAAGAACTGTGCATCAAAGGTTCTGGCTATGGTGACATTGGCAGAAGGATTATGCTTCTAAAAATATTTCTTCTTAAGCTACTTCCTATGTGTGCTTTTCGCTGCTTCTCCTTGGTCTTCATCTCTTCTGATACCCTGTTGCCCTGGAACAACACTGACAGAGTCTGGGGCCATGAGGACAAGACCATGAAAGGCAAAGCAGTTATCAGGCTTCCTTGGACTGGCTACATTAACTCTGAGGTGAGAAATAAGCTTTGATCTTATTTAAATCATTGCTATTTTAAGTTGTCTCTCATGAGCATCTGACTCCAACCTTGACTACACCATAATCTTAGGAAATTTGCTTCAGTGGAAGGGCCGTGGGAAAGCCCACACTGTAATGGGTTGAACGAAAAAGTCTTACTGAGTATGATCCTAATCTTATGTATAAAGATGTGAACTATTCATGTTGTACTAAAAAGTCATTAAAAACATTTATTTCAAATGAAACTGGGCAACTTATTTAGTGCTATGCATATCTCAAAGACAATGAAAGCTATAGTGAATGAAGCTATTAGTTTCATAGAAAAAAATACCAATTACTATACATAATGAGCGATCTTCTCAAAAGGTGAGACTAGCTCTTTAAAAGAAAAAAAAATTATATTCCACAACTAATTTACAAGTTAATGAAATTAACAGCACAGGGCTTTTGAATACTCACTATCCCATGAAGAAATGTGGTAAAGCTGTCATAATGCTTCCGACCCCCATAATGAAAGTACCAATTCCAATAACCTTCGGTCTGTGTACTTTGGATCCATAGTAACTCACGAATACAATCACAAGCAAGTTTCCTAGGGAGAGAACAAAATTATGTTGATATGATTCATCACAATGAATATTGACTGAGTCCAATTTTGTATCCAGTGGAAATGAAGGCCCCAGAATGGATGCAAATAGAGAATAAGATAAAATACCTTTTCCCCAAAGATTCATTTAATGGAGAAGGCAAAACTTACCTACGTGAAACCAGTCAGTGGAAAGTTGTGGAGTTACATAAAATAAGTTTTAGAAAACAACTTATTATGCAATATTAGTGAATCAGCATTTTATTGAAGAATTTAGAGTTAACTTGGATTGCACTGGAATGGAGAAAAATACTCCTGATCTGAGGGAAAGATATTCATCAATGTATTTATTTATTCTTTCCTAAAAATAAAAAGGGGGACATGAAAACAGAAGAGAGATTCACTAGAGCAGAGGAAGAGGATTTAGGGGGAGAAAGAAGGGCCTAAAAGGGAAGAAAGGTGGAATGAGTCAGATCAAATTTTCCTGTATACATACATGATTATACTACAATAAATTTAACCTTTATGCATATTCAAAATGCACTAATTTTAAAAACACTATAAACAGAAGAAATATCAGTAGATTAGAGGCAGAGAAACAGGGGGAGAAAGGAGAGGAAGGAAAGGGGAGTACTGGGGACTGAATTGGAGCAAATTATATTCCATGATTTTCTAATTATGTCAAAATGAATCCTAATATTATGTGTATCTATCATGAACTAATAAAAATGTGTAAAATTTTTATATTATGTGCCTGCCATGGTGCTTGGTTCCAGAAATAATAGATAGATGATAGATAATCAATAATAATAATCAATAGATAGATAATCAATCTTGGTACCTTTCCTTAAGAAATTCACATACTAGTGACAAAAACTGGTATATGAATGGAGGTACTGATAAGCCACAGGAAGAGACACTTTTTATTAATTAAGAGACTCAGGAAAATTTCCAGGAGAAGAAGTCACTTGAGATTTAATGTTTAACATCTATATTATTTAGTTTAAAAAGGAGAGAAAGAGTATTCCAAGTGGAGAGAGTCACCATCGATCCTGGCCATCTGGCTGTATGTATAACAATAAGCAGAAAGCAACCAAGATTTACTGAGCATTTCATAGAAAAGAAAAGCTTGACAGAAAAGCGCCAAAATGAACCAGTAGATAACATAACACATGAAGAAATAGTAAGGATAACACTAAAAAGAGGAGAAACTTAAAAAAGTTCAGTTAATAGATACAATAGCATGTTTACCCATAAAAATAGTAGAGAACAATAAAGTACTGTTGTAACTTTAAAAATAAGACAAATGCACAAATTATAACTTTATATGATAAGATGGAAGATATAAGCATATGGAACATACAGCAAAGGAAATAGAAATTTAGAAAGAAAAATTTAAAGAGAAAAACAATCTAGAAAACTTAATAGTTGTGTCATAGATGTTTCAAAAGAAAATAGAGGAGAAACAAATAATAAAGAGGAAGTAAATTTCTTGAACTAAAAGTAAGACTTCAGCCTTTACATGGAAAGTTCTTCCATTTCTCCAGTCGAGGTAATATAAAAAAAGACAGTCTTCAATACATGCTAGTAAAATTTCTGAGATTTGAGGATAAAAAGGAGATGTGTATTAGTGCATATTGGTAATTATTTATAACATATATATGTTATTGAATTGTATGAAACAGTAGATTAATGTTATAATATTCTTATAAAAACATTTTGATTATTTAATTCCATACCCAAATTATCACAGTAAAAAAAAAAACACATTCCCAAAAAGCAGGGGATCTAAAAATATGTTATGTGTTCAATTTTGTTTCTGGGAAAAAATAACCCCTTGAAGATACAGTTCACAGGAACTAAGGATGAAACTTGAAGTTACAAGATTCAAAGATCAAATGTAAGCAAATTTGTAATGCTGTTCAAATAAATGCTCATAGATTTGTCTTCTGTTATAGTTACTTTAAAATATTGTCACGTATGTTTTACATAAAGTTTAAAAATAGGCAAACTTGTAGGAAATATTTGCAATCTATATGACAGACATAATTTGGGGGGGTCTCCAAATAATTAAAAAGTAAGAAGAAAAGGGAAAATTGAGCAGAAGTAATAAACTCCTAATTCACAAGATAAGGAAAATGTTCATTAATTACATAAAGCTTTATGATTATAGAAGATATTAAAATTAAGACAATAAAGCAATATCTTCCATGTTTTTTTTAAAAAGACTTTTAACCTTAAAGAGTAGAAATCTAACATAGTTTTGTTCCAAATCTGTCATTTTATCCACAAATCATATGAAACATAGTCCTTTTTCAACCTTTCTTCATATTTGGGCAAATGGAGAGAGGGCAGGTTAAGCGTCCCAGGGTGTGAATTTGAAACAATGGGTTTATGTAAGATCAGTCTTCCAAAACTCTTAATAACTAGGATTTTGTTTTGTTTTGTTTTTTTGAATTACAATTCTTATTACACATATAGAGCACAATTTTTCATACCTCTGTATATAAAGTATGTTCATGCCACTTTATGCCATTGTACATGTACTTTTTTGCATTACAATTCTTAATACACATATATACCTTATATACAAACAGAGATATGAACAGTTGCGGTATGTATATATGGTGTATCAAGAACTGCCATTTTGAACTGAGTGATTCTTTGTTGTTTGGGGCCATTCTGTACATTCTGGGTGTTTAACAGTATCCTTGAACTCTACCCCTAGGTACTAGTAGCACCCCTATCCCCAAGTTTCAACAGCCAAAAATGTGTCCAGATGTTGCCAAGTCATCCTTGAGGAATCAGTTTGCACCTAGTTAAGAACCAGGGTTGTAGATCATGTGTGAAGTGTTTTACCTCTGTAAGTCTAGTTATTAAGATAGAAATACAATTACCAATTTCAAAGCCTCCATCAATTATACCAGCAATAGAAGAGGATATGTCAAATCTTCTTTCTATTTGAGTAATGGAAGTTTTCATAATGACTCCACCTAGTGCTTTGCAAATGAAGCCTAATGACATAGCTCCCAAGAAAATCTAAAAAACAACAACAAAAAAAAAGGAAGAGGGAAAACTGGTTAAGCAAAGAACTATATAATGTTTATATGAATATGGAATTAATATAGCTTTTCTTTTTTACTTGAAAACATTATTTTATTACAAAAAGCATACCTATCTTTTCCCTACAGCAATCAGTGCACCTCAGCCCTTTTAATGTTATCTCTACACAGATAAAGCACCTTTTTCCAACTAGGTTACAATATCAGATTACACTGAAAGTTGTCATTTTTCAACAAATGTCATTAATTGATCTATTAAACACTAAATGTGTTCTCAATTTGCCATGATGGTAAGCCATTCTTTATTTCCAAGTGAATAGCACAAGCCAGCTGAGGGGAGTGGCAGAACATTCTCAAAGGTACCTTCCAGGAAGCCAGTTGGAACTTTGAGGCAGCAAGGAGAAATTTAATGAATAACAAAATCGACCTTGCATCTAAGGTGAAGTGGCTATAGACTTTTTAAAGTTTCAGTTTCACTTGAACAAAATTGACTCATCCTTTCCCTTACAGTCCACATTGTTATCCATAAGCAAACTTCTTTTTGCTCTCTTGCTAAAATATGACCACATTATGGAACACATGATTGCAACTCCCCAAATTCAAATGTTGAACCCTAATCCCCATTGAGATGACACCCGGAGCTGGGGCCTTTGGGAGGTCTCATGATGAGGTTAGGGCTCTTGTGAGTGTTTGCCGTGTCCCTCTGTTATGTGAGAGCACAGGAAGAAGATGATCACATCTAAATCAAGAAGAGGGCTCTAGTTAGATTCTAACCATGCTGGCACCTTGAACTCAGACCTCCTACATTCTTGAAATGTGGAGAATAAATTTTTGTTGTTTAAGATATCCAGTCTGTTGTATTCTACCAGCCTGAACGAGGACTAATGATCCCTTCTCATTTACCTCCTGTGCTTCCAGTGGTCTCCACCATAATGTCTAGCTTTGATGATTAAAATATTCTCCTGATACATCTTTATGCTTCTGTTCCAGTTCCACTAAAAGTATGTTCTCAAACCAGTAGCCAGAGAAATTCTTTTAAAATAAAAATTAGACCATACTGCCAATTCCTGCTAGAATGCAAACCTTTTCCAGGTAGGAGGTTTTGCTCATTCAATGCTATATCACAGTGCTTAGAACAATGTCGGGCACAAAGATAATCAAGAAATAGTATTGGGCTTTTGTTGAACCAATACTAGGCCACGTTTGGGAGTTAGAGACAAAAGGCCAAACAGACATTTGCATAACCTACAAGATGTATATATGTTCTTCCCTGCATCACAGTCTTTCAAATTATACATGCTATCAATGAAGATGGAAAAATTGAGAAGAGCTGTCAAATAATACCACTTATTAGATACAACTAAAAAGTACATACAATTTAGAAAACCATCTAAAAATGGAACACCAACATGGAAGGGTATCAAAACGAGTTTTGCTAAGTTGATGGTGGGAATAATAAAATTCATAAGATAAACACTAAGCTGATTCATGGTGTTAAACAAAAATCATGAAAATTTTCTTCCAGGACAGTCATTTCCTGACATCTTGTAGAAAAACAATCTTTATATCACAGAAGAATTATGAAAATTGTTCAGGGCCCAATCATTAAAAAAATCATGTAATTAATCCTGGGTCAGGGATGGTGGTAGAGAGAACACCTGGGAGGGAACAACATCAGCAACATGGTAGGACAGGAATCCAGGACCCTTCTCTCCCACAATACATAAGTTTAACAACAAATGGACCAAATGCCCTGTAAGAACTACAGAAACCAATTAGGAGTTTCATGTAATCCATGCTAGCCTAGATATAAACACATGGAAACCTAAAAGGAAAACGTATGACTCTCTGCTCTCTCCCTTGCACTAGAGCCCTTATCACACAATACTGCACAGTGCTGCTGGGAGAAAACATTCAAATCCCCTACATCCAGTGTTTGGACTTCTAGTGGGGGCTTTCCAAGAACTGGTTTCTGTCTTGCCTCAGCACTCAAAAATGGGACACCAGATTGGGGCTCTCTCAGCAATGACAATTGATTAAGCATCAGTCTGTAGTACCACATAAAGACAGCAGATGGAGCACCATTGCCACAATTTGCTACATCACTAAAGAGGTCACAGTACCGCTGAAAGACACCAGGACCTTACCAAGGAATGGTTCTAAATAGTAACTAGTAAACTTTTTCAAATAAGAGACTATACATACAAGCCTAGAGAGGTTAGAAAAGAATGCACACATAGAAAAAGCTTAAGAAAGCTTCAGTATCGAGCAAGGCTGAGTAGAGAAAATTTCCCCTTATAGAAAACCAGATTACAATGTTTAGAAGAATTGGCTGATTCTTTGAACACTGAAATCCAAACAAACAAACAAACAAAGACATACAAAGAAACAGGGAGCATGGACACATTTAAATGAACAAATTATATCTCCAGGAACTGGCCCCCAAAAGTAAAAAGCTAGGAATTGCCAGAAAGGGATTTTAAAATTCCTGTGAAAAAAAAAATGCTTAATAAAATAAAGAGAGCACAGATAGACAACTAAATGATATCAGGAACATGGTACATAAACAAAATGACAATATCAATGATACACAAATTACAAATGACCAAGTAGGTATTTTGAAAATAAAGAATATAATAACTGAATTGAAAAATATGCAAGAGAGGGACTCAAAACACTGACTTGGTCAGGCAGAGGAATCAGTGAACTCAAGGACAGGTCTTTGAAAATTACTGAGAGAGAGGAGCAGAAGGAGGAGGAGGAAAGTAAGAGGTGGAGGAAGAAAAAGAATGAAGAATCTAAGGGAATCATGGGACAAAAATCAAGCAGAGCAAACACACAGAGAAGGATCGGAGGAAAGGGTCAAGAACTTTTTTGAAGAAATAATGGCCTCTAATTTCCCACATCTGGGGAGAGAAGCAGACATAAAATTCAAGAAGCTCAAAAATACTTGAACTAGGATAAACCTAAAGATATCTACCCCATGGCACATCTTAAACAAATTGTTGAAAGTCATAGGAAAAAGAGAAATAATCTTGAAAGTAGTCAGTAGGAAAGCTTTACATCAGGTAAAAGGGAGCTTCTATTACATCAGCAGCAGATTTCTAAACAAAACTATGGAGAACATGCTATGGTTTGGATGTGAGGTGTCACCAAAAAGTTCTTGTGTGAGTCAATGCCAGAAGGTTAAGAGGAGAATCAGTTGTTTATGAGAACTTTAATCCAATCAGCGAATTAATCCCCTGGTGGGGATTAACAGAGTTATAACTGAAGGCGGGTAGAGTGCGGCTAGAGGAGGTGGGCATTGGGGATGTGGTTCTGGGATATGTATTTTGTATCTGGTGAGTGGAGTCTCTCTCCCTGCTTTCTGATCATTATGTGAGCTGCTTTCCTCTGCTACACTCTTCTGCCATGATGTTCTACTTCACCTCAAGCCCCAAGGAATAGAAGCAGCTATCTATGGACTGAGAGGTCTGAAATTGTTCTGGTTGAGTCTTTTAGTCACAGTAGCAAAAAAGCTGACTAAAACAGATGAGAAGGGAGTGAGATGATATATTCAAAGTACCGAAACAAACAAAAAATAAACTGGCCAATCAAAAACACTATATTCAACAAATCCACCCTTCAAAAATGAAGAGAAGTCAAGATTTTCTCAAATTAGCAATATCTATGGGAGCTCATCACAACATTTGACCTGCTGAAAGGAGAGGGCATTAGAAGAATGTTTAACAGCAACACAAAACAGTATGAAAATGTACATATCTCCTGGTAAAGATAAATACATAGGTAATAGGAATCTTGAATTATTATAATGTAGATAACCAAATCGCTTGTTAATCTGGTATAGAATATTTTAAAGAGCACAGAAAAGGAGTCCAAGATGAATAAACAATGTTGGAGGTGTCACAATATCTGACTTGAAATTATAATACAAAAACTGCATGGTACTGGCATAAAAACAAACACAAGACCATCGTACAGAATTGAAGACACAGAGACAAACCTACACATCTATAATCATCTGAACCTTGATAAAGGAACAAAAAACATTCATTGAAGAAAAGACAGCCTTTTTAACAAATGGTCCTGGGATAACTGGTTATCCATATGTAGAAGAATGAAACTAGACTTTTATCTCACACCCTGCACAACTATCAACTCAAAATGGATCAAAGACCTAGGAATTAGACCAGAAACTATGCAACTCCTAGAAGAAAATATAGTGTCAACATGTGAGTATATAGATACAGGCAACAACTTTCTCAATAGGGCCCTAATGCTGAGGAAATAATGACAAGAGTTAATAAATGGGAGGCATCAAGGCAAAAGCTTCTGCATAGCAAAGGAAACAATTAGGTATGTGAATGGGAGAAAATATTTGCTAGCTACTCTTCCAACACAGGATTAATATCTAGAAAATATTTTTAAAAACTAAAAAAAATTAACACCAAAAAATCAAATAACCCAATTAATAAGTGGTCAAAAGAATTAAACAGACACTTCTCAAAAGAAGAAATACAAATGGCCAACAAATATATGAAAAAAATGTTCAATTTCATTAGCAATTAGGGAAATTCAAACCAAAACTATACTGAGATTTTATCTCACACCAGTCAAAATTGCAGTCATTAAGAATACAAACAATAAGGCAGGAGCAGTGGCACAAACCTATAATCCTAGCAGCTTGGGAGGCTGAGATAGGAAGATTACAGAATTCAAAGCCAGCCTCAGCAATTTAGGGAGGCCATAAGCAATTTAGTAAGAACCTGTCTCAAAATAAAAAAGGGTTGGGGATATTGCTCAGTAGTTAGGTACCACTGGGTTCAATCCCCAGTACTAAAACAACAATAAAATACAAATAATAATAAATGCTAGAGACAATGTGGAGAAAAAAAGGAACACCTTTATACTATTGGTAGTATTACAAATTAGTACAACCACTATGGAAATCAATATGAAGTTGCTTAAAATTAGGCA